GCAACAGGCCCTGGACAAGCATGACCATGACATTCTCCCCCACTTAAATGGTTGACGTCCCCGTCAACTGTCGCTGCTCGAACTCTTCAATTGCTGCCGCAGCTGTCTTCAGGTCTTCAGTACACTCCCAACTTATCTCTTCATCTGGGAGCCCTTTCCACTTGACTAGGAATTCCTGTACGTCTCTTCGTGGTCTTCCTACTCGGCGTGTTCTCTCGACGAGGATTGAATCAACTTCTTTGTCAACCTTGTTCGTCAATGTGACTGCTGGACGGGTCACCTCGTTTYGTGTAGGGTCGACGGTGTCGGGGTGGTAAGACTTCAAGTTGCTCACGTGGATAACTGGATGGATTTTCATCCACGGGGGTAGTTGAACCCTATAGGATGTCTTGCTCACCTTCTGAAGGACGTTGACGGGTCCTTCATATTTTCGCACAAGGCGTTGGTCTTTGTTACCTCGAAAGCGAAGTTGTTCAGGTCTCAGCTTCACAAGGACTTGATCTCCTGCCTGGAATTCTAATGGCCTTCGCTTTTTGTCTGCCCACTTTTTCATGTGTTTAGACGCCTTCTCTAGGTATGCTCGGGCCACTTCGGTCGATTGACGTCATTCCTTAGTGAAGTTGTAGGCTTGAGGACTCTTGCCCACATAAGAATGGTCGACAACGTGAGGTAACACAGGTTGTCGCCCGCATACGATTTCGAAAGGGGTTCTCCCCGTGGTGGTGCTCTTTTGGCAATTGAAACAGAATTGAGCTACATCGAGCATCTGGATCCAATTCTTTTGCCGAGCGTCAATAAAGTGGCGGAGGTACTCTTCCAGCATACTATTGAAGCGTTCCGTCTGTCCGTCTGTCTGTGGGTGATAACTCGAAGAGATGTTCAAATTGGATCCTAATAGGCGGAAAAGTTCTGTCCAGAATGTCCCTGTGAAGCGTCTGTCTCTGTCGCTCACGATGCTCTCAGGGACGCCCCATAGTTTCACAACATTCTTGAAAAATAACTGTGCAGTCATTTCGGCCGAGCACATCTTCGGAGTTGGGATAAAGGTAGCATACTTAGAGAACCGGTCAACTATCACGAGGATCGCTTCTGTCTCCCCGACTTTAGGTAGGTGGGTGATGAAATCGAGAGACACACTCTCCCACGGTCGTGATGGAATTGGCAGGGGTTCCAGTAAACCCGCAATTTTGTTTCGCTCGACCTTGTCCTGTTGGCAGATGAGACACGTTTTGGTATATTGCATCACGTCGTCTCTCAAATTCGGCCAGTAGTAGCCTTTCTTTAGCAGGGCGTAAGTTCTCTGCCATCCAGTATGGCCTGCCCACATCGTGTCATGACATTCTCCAAGTAGGAGCTTCCTCAGGTTCCCAGAACGGGGAACATACAGACGGTTGCCTTTGGTGAAGAGGAGGTCATTCTCCACCCAAAACTGTCTAGTCTTGCCTTCGTTGGCTAACTGAATTATCGCTTGGGCAGCTGGATCATTCTGTAAGTTCTCTTGGATGGCTTCGTGAATGGATCCAGTTAGCTTGCTCGCTTTTAGGTGAGCTAACACGCACAGGGCCGCGTGTTCGCTCTTTCTGCTAAGGGCATCTGCTGCCTGATTTGCTCGACCCGGCTTATGTTCGAACTGAAAATCAAACTCGGCAAGGTATTCTTGCCACCTAGCTTGCTTGGACGACAACTTCGGTTGGTTGAAGAAGTGACAGACTGAGCTGTTGTCGGTCTTGACAACGAACTTGGCCCCTAGGAGATATTGCCTCCAGGCCCTCAAGCAGTGGACTACTGCTAACATCTCTTTCTCGGAGGCGGCATACCTCATTTCAGCATCATTCAACTTCCGACTCTCGTATGCAATGGGGTGACCGTCTTGGAGAAGCACTCCTCCCAGGGCAAAGTCTGACGCATCAGTCTCGACTTTGAATGGTCGTGTGACGTCTGCAATTCCCAACACCGGCCCCTCCATCATCGCCTTTTTCAAACTCTCAAATGCGGCTTGACATTCTGGAGTCCAGTTCCACTTCTGGTTCTTCTTTAGTAATTCAGTTAAGGGCCCGGTCCGTTTCGAGAATCCTTCTACGAATCGCCTATAGTAATTGGCTAATCCGAGGAATGAATGTAGTTCTGTGATGGACGTCGGAATTTTCCACTCTTGAATGGCTTTGACTTTTCCATCTTCCATGCCTATTTGACCACATTCTATCACATGACCCAAGAAATTGATGCGTTCTTGAGCAAAAGAACACTTCTCTCGTTTAACATACAACTGGTTCTGTTTGAGCTTCTCGAAAACAAGCTGTAAATGCACATGGTGTTCTTCCATGGTTGGACTGTAGACGACTATATCATCTAGGTAGACCACCACAAATTTGTCGAGATATTCGTGAAACACATGGTTCATTAAGGTGCAGAAGGTGGCAGGAGCATTCGTAAGGCTGAAGGGCATGACAAGAAATTCAAAAGCCCCATACCGAGTGACGTAGGTCGTCTTCGGTTCGTCTCCTTCTGCGATGCGCACCTGATAGTACCCATATCGCAGATCCAGCTTAGAGAAGTACTTTGCCCCATGAAGTTGATCGAAAAGGTCTGTGATGATTGGCAAAGGGTACTTGTTGCGGACGGTGAGTTTGTTCAATGCTCGATAGTCGATGCATAGGCAGAGGCTTTCGTCTTTCTTCTTCTGAAAAAGGACTGGGGCCCCATAGGGAGCCTTAGCCGGGCGGATGAATCCAGCATTCAGTAACTCATCAAGTTGTTTCCTCAGTTCGGCTAACTCGGGAGGAGCCATCCGATAGGCGTTCTTGGCGGGCAGTTTTGCCCCTGATAATAATTCGATCTCGTGGTCTATCCCCCGTCTTGGAGGGAGAGTTTTGGGCAGGTTGTCTGGCATTACCTCGGCATACACATTCAAGACTCGCTGGATTTCTCTGGGAACTGGTTCTTCAGATTTTCTGCCTTCCACAATAGGGATGGCCATGAACGTTGGCTCGTCACGAGCGAGACCTTTCTTTAGTTGGAGTGCTGATATCATCTTCACTCCGCTTGGTTGTTTGATGCTTGTCTGGACAACTGTGGGATCAGAACCCGTTACAACCAGGCACTTAGCGAGGGGCATGGGGATGACTTTGTGTTCCAGCAGAAATTCCATCCCCAATACTACGTCGAAGTCGTCCATCCGCACTATCACGAAGTCAACCTGTCCACTCCATGTCCCTAGCTTTACTGAGACTCTCTTGGCAACTCCCATGATGGGGAGGGCGGTCGAGTTGACCGCTTTCATCTTTCCTGGATCTTTATCCTATCGCAAGTTCAGCCGACGTGCTTCGATTTCTGTCATGAAATTGTGGGTGGCACCAGAATCTACCATAGTGCTTTTTGCGGCTCTCTGATTGACCCACGCTTCCACATACATTAGACCACGTTCCAGAGGTTCCTTCACTTCCTCGGTCTTCTTCTGAAGCACCGATAAGAATTTGAGTGCTCCCATACGGGGATTGTCATCGACGTCTTCGGGAGGAGTATCTGTTTCTGGGCCTTCCCGTTCGGTCGCTCGATCGTTCGTCAATGTGGCTTGGAAGGCCCGGAGGGCAGCTCGATTCGGACACTCGTATACTCTGTGCGGTCCTTTACAAATGAAGCAGGATGGTCTTGGTCGATTGTTATTGTTTTGTGGGTTCGGCCCTCTCCATGTATTTCCCCCTCTCTGCTGGAAGGGTCTGCGGTCTCCTCCTCCATTTCTGTCAGCTCCCCCATTTTTAGGGGACCCCGATCTAGCGGGTCTGTGTCCACTACTGGAAGAAGCTTGGGTCTTCCTCTATTTTTGTGACGTGTCGCTGCTAAGATCGAACAGCCGTTCGGCAGTTGCGTAAGCAGTAGGGATATCTTGTACCTTCTGTTCATACAGTTTGGCCCAGGCCCATGGTTTCAAGCCCTCCACGAAGGCGAAGACCTTGTCTTTCTCGAACATATTGCGGATATCCAACCATCAACCCTGAAAACTACTTTACGTAGTCTCGAATATTTCCTGTGTGTCGTAATTCACGAAGTTTACGACGAGCAAGAATCTCTACATTTTCCGGGAAAAATTGGGATCTGAGTTCCTGCTTTAGTTTTTCCCACGTGTCGATGGTACATTTGCCCTCTTGTACATCTACGTATCTCGCTCTCCACCACAACTTCGCATCGTCAGCAAGATGCATTGTGGCTAGTGTGACTTTCGATTCCTCAGTCATCGTGCTTGTCGCCTTGAAGTACTGCTCAAGGTCGAAGATGAAGTTCTCAAGAGCTTTAGCATCTCGCGCCCCACAGAAGGGCTTGGGTTCGGGAACTTTCACCTTGTTGAACTGAATCGGTCCCCCAGCTGGGGCCTGATTTCCCACTGCTCTCATGGTGAGATTTACTTTGGTGCCTAATTCGGCAATCTCTGACCTTATGTCGTCGATGGTGGCTTTGAAGTCGTCGGTCAGCTCACTGACCATCTGCACAATAGTCTTTTGGGAGATGTCTATTTCTTCGACACGCTCCTCCATGTGGGCGATTGAGCTCGATGAGCTTTCGCCA